TTGTGCACATCTACAGCTCAAGACCTTTCCAACGGTGGTCAAACCATATAAATCGGGTAACGGAAAGTGGGCAAAACAGGGATTACAAAAAAACCCGTTCTGCATTAATATATAGATTACTAGTACCAGATGCATATTTAGGGTGCCTAGATGCAATGCAATGTCAAATATTGAGAAGAAAATAACATTTGAGGCGCCAAAATAGACAAGGGTAAACAACATTGTTTTTATTGAAGACGTCAGTGTTTGTTGATTGTTTTGTAAACAAAGTGCGAAAATATTTTCGAAAAATTTTTAAAAATGGAAAAGTGTAAAGGAAATATTGATAATTTCTGTTATGTTTGTGGTCATTTCACACCTAATGGTAATAACGATAAACATTTGCCAATAAGTGAATACTATAGTCGAAAAGTGAATACAGATGTGTTTTGGGCTCCAGGAAATGTATGCAGAAGCTGTTATAACAGTGTTATGGCTTGGAAGGCAAAGAAAATCCCATCTTTGCCGTATGGTGTGCCTATGTTGTGGTTTGATCCAGGCGCTCACGATGCAGGAAATTGCTACGCATGTGTTAATAGTGTGGTTGGATTAAACAGGAAAAAGGCAAAGAAAAAGGTGTATAGTTCCGTTCCAAGTGCACAGTTACCCATACCACATTCAGATCATATTCCAGTACCATCAACATTTCCAAGCCCTGATCTTTTGTCGTATATTACTACGGCTACTACCAATACACAAGCAACATACGACAATTCATCTGAATATGACCCTGGCCCATTCACTACAACCGATCCGATTCTCATCACGCAAGCCCAACTGGATAACATCGTAGCCAAGCTAGAGCTATCTCAACGAAAGTCAGAAATGTTAGCAACATTTTTGAAAGGAAATGATTTGCTCGCTTCAGGTACCAAAGTGACTGGTTATAGGAATCGCAACAAAGAATTGCGGCAGTATTTCGTGGTAAATGAACAAAAAACGTTTGCGTATCGCCACGATGTTGAAGAGTTAATGAAAGCAATGGATATTAAATACGATAAGAACGATTGGCGCCTATTCATTGATAGTTCGAAGCGAAGTCTAAAGGCTGTTTTGTTGCATAAATTGAATGTGAAACCATCCATTCCCATCGCCTATAGTACGGACACGAAGAAAACGTACGACAAAATGAAGAGCATTTTGGAATTGGTCAAATATGATCAGCACAACTGGAGAATCTGTTGCGATCTCAAAGTTGTGGCGATACTTTCTGGTCTGCAAGCCGGTTATACCAAGTTTATGTGCTTCATCTGTGACTGGAATACAAGGTATAAGGGAGACCAATATACAAAACACGATTGGAAAGACAGAAAAGACAGCCAGTTCAAAAATGCCAATGTAATACGCGAAGCACTTGTGGAACTTAAAAACGTTTTGATGCCATATCTCCACGTAAAACTCGGAATAGTGAAAAACTACTTAACAGCCGTTGCCAAGAGAGACGATGTTTTGCGATGTTTAATTCAAATTTTCCCCGGAATCAGCACTAACAAATTGAAGCATGGAGTTGTCAATGGTCCAGATATAAGGAGATTGATGAAAGATGAACGGTTTGAGGAGGTTTTAGTTGACGATGAACACGTTGCATGGCAGTCAATGAAGGATGTTATCAATGGTTTACTGGGAAAACACCGCGCTGATAACTATGCTGAATCAGTGAAGCAAATGTTGAATGCATTCTCAACAATCGGTGTAAACATGTCGCTCAAAATACACTATTTACTTGATCTTTTAATTTTGAGGTTTTATCGTGTATTTTATTTAATAGAAAAATTGTTTTGATTCAACAAATGATATACTTTATTGAGTTACACTCAGATGTACATTTCGGAAGCAATGCTTCCATCCTCAGTGAGTTTGAAATATCAACTAGCGTTTACTCAAAAATTCACGTGACATAAAAAGCAATGGATATAAAATTGAAAAGTTATGAATTTGACTATGTTTCCAAAGGTGACTGAAATTATTTCAACTACAGAAAATGTTTAAATATTGGCTCTTTAATCGGCCCGTCATCACCATTCAATAAATTGTCTCTATTTTTATGAATTAAAATTGCCTCATTTGCATCTAATTGGCTGCTTTTGTTTACGCTTCTTATTAACTTTAAACTATTTAAACTGATTGTATGGCCCGTTTCTAGTATATGTTGTGCTACGCTTGATTTTAAAGGCTCATTATTTCTTATATGATTACAATGTTCTTTGTATCTTTTCAAAATTGCTCTCTTACTTTGGCCAATATATTCTTTATTACAAACTTCACATTTAATGCTGTAAATACCCGATTTTTCGTAAAATTTAATTTTATCTTTAGATCCGCCAATTATACTTTTTAAATTTAAAGGATTATGTTCGGCCAATTTTATGTCATATTTGTGAAAAATTGATTTTAATTTACTTGAACATGATGGATTATATGAAAAACCCTTCCAAATTAAATCATTATTAGTGTCATCACGAATTAAATTTAGTGTTGTATGGTTTCGTAGCTCTTTTTTCCTTATATGTGACTTTAAAAGATCGTCAATCAACTGTTCAGTATATCCATTTACGTTAGCAATTTGTTTGATTCGTTGAATTTCTGTATTGAATCTCTCTTCCTTGAGTGGTACGTTCACAGCTCTAAACAACATTGAATGAAAACTCGCGATTTTATGCTCGAATGGATGATGTGAATCGGAAGTGATGTATCTATCCGTAGCTGATGGTTTACGATAAATATCATATTCCAGTTTCGATCCATTCCTTGTTACACACAAATCGAGAAAGTTCAATTTTCCATCTTGTTCTTCTTCATGTGTGAATTTTATAGTTGGATATTTGGTGTTGTTTAATCGTTTAAGCAGGCTCCTCAATTGATGTTTTTTGATGATTGCATAAACATCGTCAACGTATCTTAACCACACACGTGGAAATATGCCCTCTTTCTTCAGCGTTGTCTCGAAATGTGACACGAATAAATTCGCCAAAAATGGACTCAAAGATGATCCCATGCTGCAACCAAAGTTCTGACGATAGTATTTATCATTGAACCGGAACCAATTTTCGTCCATGCAGATTTTTGTCAATCGTACTAGTTCTCTTACCACTTCATGCTCTAGTTGATTGCTTTGAAGCCAATGTTCTAGTAATTGAAGAGTAACGTCAATTGGAATATTTGGATATAGGCTCTCGACATCGAAAGACACCTGCATTTCACCTTCCAACAAGACGAGATCTTTTGTCTTTTCAACAAACTCAATGGTGTTCTTGATTGCCGCTGTCTCGAATTTGATCGGCATCGCTTCAAATTGACTCAGAAGCCACTGTGCCAATTTTTCATTTGGTGAATTGTTGTTCGATGTTATCGGGCGTACTTTTCTTCCCGGTTTGTGTAGTTTGAGCTGTGTGTATAATCTTGGTATCGATGGATTTGATACATTCAGCTTCCATATGATTTCGCGGCCCAACGTTTCTGATGCTGTCTTGACCGCTTCTTTCGTTCTTCTTATCATACCCGGCAAAGGACTACGTCTCACCTCTTCGTACGGCCCACTTTCGATGAAATCTTCAGTCATTTTTACGTACTCTTCTTTATCCATAATGACAATGTTGTTGCTTTTGTCTGCTTTCATAAAATACACAGCATCACGTTTCTCTCTTAAACCCCTGATTGTTTTCCAAAAATCTTTCATTTGGTTGGTCATTTTCTGGCATTTGATGTTCTCTTTCTCATTCAACATTTCCGATCTTATCTGGATTTTCTCTTCGTCCTCAAGGTGTCTGATCGCTGTTTGAAAACTTATCAATGTGTTCTCCAATGTAGTTTGTTCATGTTGTTGAAATGCAAATTTGAATCCCCTGTTTAGCAGGTCCATCTCATTGTCAGAAAATACTACGCTTGATAAATTCCTCACAAAATCTCCAATCGGTTCCACACTTTTGAAGTATGTTTTCTTCACGCTTCGCTCATTGGTTTCACACAGCTTCTCGAATTTCTTGATGAGGTTCTGTTTTTTGGCTTGATATTTGTGAGTGACAACTCTGTTGACATGTTCGAAAAACAATCTCAAATCATCGCGTTGGATGGACCGCAATGTGTCAATTTCAAATACGTTGAGTATTCTTCTCGTTCAAATATTGACAATTTGGAATATTTCTCCTTGATAGCCAAACGAAGCCAAAATAATTGACCAATACGAATTGCCTTTTGTGCAATGCCACCTCTTGGATTTTTGGGACCACGCAATTGGATGAACTTTGGAATGACTTCTCTCTTTTGACACCTTCTAAGGAAAACTATATCCGCTCTCAAACACTGAACTTTTGTTTTTAAACGCAAATATTTATTTCTTGCACTTGATTCCTCTGTTGACCTGTTAGCCATCATAATTGATATTTTAATTTTTTATAACGTTACAATCATCATCAAATGTGCGGAATATTATTTTTTTCATCAAAATATCACAAAACGCTGTATGGTGCAGAATAATAATAATAAGTTTGAGAAAAATAAATTTTTCAAAAATATTTACCATTCAATTGATTTGAATTTTTGGTTATCGCTCAAGATACACAGAACAAACCAGAAAAAGAAATAAAAACCATCGATAAAAGCTATTTTATCTAATTGCACAAAAAATGCTTCAAAACTGTTCAACATATGTTAGCGTTCAAACTTCAATGGAAAATCCATTTGTGACATTGCAAATAACATGAGACTTTCTGAATCATATTTTTTTTTACAAATAAACCCAATCTATGACAATTTGAAGCCATCGAAACTAATTTAAGAGTAACCATACAAATTTACAAATTTTCCCCAATAAATTGACAAAAATGACATATATTGGTCAGGATTTCGGAATTTTATCATTCGAATCTTCTAAAATTTGGCTTGTCGATTGCTGTTGACAAAACAAACAAGAAAATCAAATAAAAAGCATCGATAAAAAAAATTAGCCTAGGTTACACAAACATTGTTCAGAACATAATGATGCAAGTAATATGTTAGTACTGGTATGAACTTCAATGGAAATTTGATTTATAACGTTACAATCATCATCAAAAGAGCATCCGCGGTTATGGGCGCGTTAACCCTATTTCTAATGTGGTCAATTATTCAATTTGACTATTTAGCAAAAGAACATCGGAAATGATGTGCACATTTCTCCGATTAAATGCCTACTAAACGGCATTTATTCCGAAATGCGTGTACACTCCTATGGGGTGTATACAAGACCGAACCAGCTCCGGTATATGAGCTCTTCAAACTTCATCCGAAAGGAAATGTTCGGGTGGAGCTTCTGGCGATCCCAGTCGTATTTGGATTAAATAAATTTTATTACTTTCAGGGACCGGACCGGTTAGCGAGTGAGGTGCGCTATAACACCTCTAATTAAACCTTTTTGGAGTAGTAAATGACTCTAAAGAGGCTTCCAGGGAGGTAATACTTCTTATCTCCTATTGGTCGTATTTATTAAATTTACTAATCCCATCCATATAGGGATCTCTGCAGTGCTTGGTAAGGCTCTGCGGATTGAACCTTATGTGGATTTTCCTTTTCAGGAGTGTTGAGGTACGGACGGGCATTCAAACACATATCGATCTGTTTGTTTTCGACCGGACTCCTCTCAGGTAAGTTATCAGTGTTGTGTAAGTGAAGTGTAGTGAAGTGATAAGTGTTTTTTTTTGTAGTTTGGTGGGTGTTTTTGGTACGGACGGGCATTCCAGCAGATAATATCTGTTTGTTTTCGACCGTTCTCCTTAAACACTCTACCTCTCAGTGTTCAGTTCGCATTTTTAAATCGTTTAAAGTGAGTGTTTTTTTTATAAGAATGTGGACTGCATTCAATTGGTAAGTACTTATTTTTATTCCCCTGTTTTCCCTGAGCTCTTTTGAGTTTGGAAGTCTGTGCAAAAAATCCCGAACCCAGCTTCCACCTAGTGGAAACAGTAGTGGTATGTATCTGAAATGATAGCAATATACCGAGCCTGTAAATGGGAAGGGTGCCACTGTGAAAGGTGAGAAAGATTGCCGTGAAGCGGACGTGACGTGTTCGTAGAGATTACGGATTGTCGGGTGTAAGCCGAGCGCTGCCCACTTAAGCAATTTCGGGTCTCCCATGTGTCTTGGGAACACTGAACGAAGGCGGAACGGTCGTCCTAAGCCCGTAGCGTTGGTTGGGGTTGTGTTGGTGTGTTTCTGTAGGCGATGAAAGGAGTAAGAGTAGAGTCTAATGCAATTACAGTATCAGACAAAGTTATGCGTGGGTGCACACACGTAGAACACTATCGCTCACCTATATGGGTTGCCCCTGTGTCTGGGTTGACTCGAAATGAAAAATGGATCCGTCTTCCTAAGCTGAAAGGGGTGTTGTGTGTGTGTCGAAAGGGCAGCATTCTAGTGCGGCTATTTCCTTACTTGGCTTGTGCCATCTGTTGCCAGCGATCACTTCTCTGTCATGGGCATACATCATTGCAACGGACTGGTGGAGTGACTGATATCCTCGGCCAAGCATGCAATGAGTAAGACGTGCGTAACCGGGGCAGGAGGAAGCGAAACCAGTCAGATCTCTGGGTATGGGATAAAATGCCGGGGCGAAGCTCCAGCCCGGGTGTGAGGCAACACTTTTTTCCTCCCTTTCTGGCGAACAACTGGCCAGAAGCTGTTAGAAAAAAACAATAAATTGAGACAATTTGTTGGTTTTCTGGCAGTACGGTAGAAGCCTTGTCGATGGCAGGGAGGCTTAAGTTGACAGTACCGTTACGGGTCG